ACCAAGGTCTGTGCTACAACTCACCGAGCAGAGGTTTCCTGTTGGTAGCCTCTGTGTGCTTCCTCTGTGCAGGCAGAGTTGTGGGAAGGTGTATGGCAGCGTGCGGGAATATGTCTGGCTGCTGGTCTCTGACCTTGTGCCAGTGTGTCTCAGAAGAGGGCCCATGCATCACTGAAGGGCCAGGGAAGGCAAAACTGGTGTTCTGGCCTCTGGAAGAGGTGGAGGGCTCAGCTTGTCAAGGTCCACCTTAGAGGAGAGGCCAGGATGCTATGGGTGCGAATGCATCAGTGCAGGGCAGTGGCAGGGAGGAGGCATTTCAGTAACTTGTTCCATGCTCTTTGTAAGGAGCTGACCTCTCAGTCAGCTAGTCCTAACCAGATACATGTCTGTGAGGTGCTTCTTGTCCTCAGATGTTCTGGAGGTTTGAGCTGATGGATTGTTTTGGTTAAACGAAGCACTGTATGTAACAACATGATTCAGTATATATAGTGAAGCTGGGTGTTCTAGATACTTTCTGTCACTGTTGTTAAAGGATCGCTGTTAGTTGGAATGACATTTTCTGATTCTTCTGTGATGGTGTATTTTGTGAGTGGAGTAAAATACTGGTTTCAGTGACTGAGCAAAATTTATTCTTACATTTTGGAAGGAGTTAAAATGTTTTTGTGGTTGCTTTAAAGCGTCTGTGTCTAATTTAAAGTGATAATCCAAAATGGGTATGACATTTGAGTGTGTAAAGGTTGACATGTGGATATACTGCAGTGAAACGAATTGACTTGTGGAAAATGCAGGCTGGAAAACATGAAGTGAGACACTTCACAAAGTAACCAGTGTAGCAGACCCTCATCGCAGAAGCCCGCCCTGCTCATGCAAGTAATTGCACTGCCTTTGAGATGCTAAGTTATTTCTTGTGTGTTTCTGCAGCATGATGTGCTCTGTGCTGCGCTTCTTACAGACTTCCAACGGTCTTGCTCAGACTGTGCCAACTGCAGCACAATCCAGAACCCCAGGTCTTCTTTTAATATATGAGCCTGCCTTCTCTAGTTCCTAGCTCAGTTTTTGGAGCTAAGAAGGGCCAGTGACGCTAACATCTTGTTCTTGGGCAAGGCAGTGCCACAACCCAATTGACATTGTGATAGAAATTGATTCCCTGGTAAGGGAGTTCTTTGAGTCCTTTCAAAGAGGTGCCTCAAGTCAATAAATAGTTTGAGTACTGCAGCTATCACATGAACATTTTACCCTCTGTCTTTGAAGAGAATTTAGCAGTGGATTTCTTCATGGTCTTCCTCTGACCAACTCCTTTCTTGGCCTTGTTTGACCCACCTTTTGAGTCCCCAAGAGTCTTTTCCCTGTGATGCTCAAACAGTTTGCTAGAGCATCCCTCATGCTTGTTGTGCAACAAAGCCACAGCTGTTTCCTGGCCTCTGGGACCCTGTGTCCCTGCATATAGAGAAGCAATATTTGCCTCAGTGGATGTTATTTAATATTTTCTTACATTAGGAACAATTGTTTAACAGATTATGAGCTGTCGCCAAGCTCCATGTTGTCAGGGACTTCAGTGCAATTGAATGTAAATGATAGCAATGAGAACAGCCCTTCTACCTCTAGGTTATCTGTCAGAATAAACTATGCAGAGGAGTTATAAGTGGGAGTCCTTATTTTATGCTTTCTCTTGCCTGTGTGAACACAGGCAAAGCACTGTTGTTGGAGACACTCCTTCTGAAGAAATGCAGGCATGTTCTCTGTGTAGAGACAGAACCAATGTTGTGTCACTCTTGTCTTTAAGGGGATCTGGAAAGAGGAGTGAGTAATGAAATAAATTCCTATTTGTCTCCAAGACACTTTCTTTGCAGATGCTGGGGTTCCCTCTCTGTGGGCTATTAGGCCACTGCAAGTTAAAAAAAAAAAAAAGTGGGTACAGGAAGTTTGGAAACCACCAGTGCAGATCGTCTCTCCCATTGCAACAAAATCAGGAACAAAGGAACTGATTATCCTGAGCCTGGTAATCTCCCAAGGAAAGCTGTCAGAGAGTGGTGGGTTGGAAACCTCTTTCCTGGACTGGCCATTTGGGTGGTGCTACACTACAGCTTCTCTCAGCGGCTTGGTTCCTGAGCTCACAGGGGCCAACAGCTTCTCTGCAGGCTTTCAGCTACACGGGGAGTTCCCAAGCACTGGTCCCTGCAGGGCATTTTTTTTGGCTCTGAGGATCACCCCAGGGCAAGCACTAAAAAACGTGTGGCGGCAGAGCAAGCCCAAAAATGAGGCAGGGGTCTGGTGTTAACTCCAGAGAATGGGTCCAACTTCAGTATTTACTTCCATTGTGTTTGTAAGGTATGTAAAGTCTGGATCAAAGAAGGGTGAAAGATGCATGAAGTAGGAACTAGCTAGAAATGAGACACACTTATAAAACAGTGGGAGCATCAAAACCTCTCACTTGCTCTTTGAATTGATAGATGCCAAGTTTTTGCCTTTAAATCTTTGTAGGTGCATAAAGATCTCTTAATTTGGTTGTAACTCACAACTAAACCCGACCTGGACTCTTCAATGAAGTGTTCTACTTTCACCTCCCAGAGAGGCTCGCTGAATGTAGACTAACAGGTTTACCTAATAGGGATATGTAAAATACAACAGCCAAGTCACACTGACTTAACTCGTATGGTGAGGATGTTGGCATCTGTTTGCTTTGGTAGCTTGATAATTAGAACAGTCATTCGAGAGTTGAAATGAAGGCTGAACTTTTACTGCCCTCAGGTAGCCCCACATCTCATAAGGAGAACAACCAAACAGCTAGGCTGTTGGAGGGGGGGGGAAATACATGCATGTTCTCTAAGCATCCTTTGGAAACTGCAGTCAAAAAATTGGGTTTCATTGGCCAAAAGGGGTAAGCAAGTTGAAATGTGATTCTTTAGCTCCTGCAATAATGTCAAAAAATCTTGGTCTTGTATGTGAGAACTGGGCTTATGTTAAAATATTAGGTATTGTAAGTAATGTAGGAAAGGGGGAGGGGGAAAACCTTAAATTGTCCCTTTTTAAATTGTTTTCCATAGTTTAACAAGCAGGTTTCTGTTTGCTGTGATAATGTTCTTCAGTACTATCTCACCCACACTGTGCATGGAGCTTCTAGCTGCTGCGTCTTTGAGCTGGGCATCTAGGGGCTGGGCTGTAGCAGTCTCACCTTTTGGTGCTTAAATCCCCTTGTGGAGTTAGTGCTTTCTTTTTACCTGTAAAAAAGGGATAAGAGCAGTGTTGTACCTCACGGAAGAGTTGCAAGGCTAGGTAGAAGTAGGATTAACGTAATAATGGTCATCAGAAAAATGTCCTATATAGCTTTTAGTAAGAAAAAGAAATTATTTATGTGAGGACAATGTTGAGGCTTAAGCCTGAAAGGAAGGCCACTGCTTGAGTTAATGGCAGCTCTTCAAGGAGCTCTTGAGGAAGTAGAGAGAAGGGTAAGTTATCTTTTGAGAAGGGGAGACAGTGAGAAGGAATGCATGCTTGAAATAACACCATTCAGATCAGGGCAGGACCTGGCCTACCATTTGTATTTGCATATTTTTTTGAACTTCCTGATGAAAATTTAAAAATATCCTAACACAGTACAATGCAGTGTTTATAATAGACACTCAAAAGCACTTGCTTTAGCAATGAGAAATGACTTGGCTTACTTATTCATAGGAAGGAGTAAAAGACATGTATTGTTTTTGGAACAAAGTTCTTCAACCAAGCAAAAACCATGGTATTTTAAAGAGGCTGTGAGAAACAAAGCAGTTAAAATGTCCTGAAGTTATACTACTGGTGTATTTCATTCTAAAGAGTGTATAAAGATACACTTAATCATGCTCATGGGATTGGGCAATGGGTTTAGATAGCTTGAGGAATGCTTTATTTAAACCCACTTGAAGTTTGCAATGGGACAAAAGATTTTGAGAAGGAAAGTTAAAATAAACAAACCTCTTTGCAATTAATAGGTAAAATGTCTTGGTTTTTGTCTTTTGGTTGCACGAAGCACTAATGACGGCTATGTATGTTTGAGCAGTTGGAGGATAGATCCTGAAAAGTAGACAGTGTAGTGGACTCCCTTAAAGGCTGCCCTTTTAATCTTATGTGGCTGTCCAGCCTTTCTTTCAAAAGTCAAGGGGTCTTTGCAGCTGTGAAAGGAGCCATGGTCTCCTGCCTGCCTGTGCCCAGGCAGCAGCACTGCTGTCTGACTCGGTGCAGGTGTAGTTAGTTGACTGCACAGGAGCCAAAGCCGCAGAGAAAAGCAAGGTCTGGGCCCAGCATTGAGTATGTTCGTAATTTGAATGAGATAGAAATAATAAAAAAAATTATTTGTTTGTGTCTCTTGGTTGCATGAAGCATTAATGACAACTGTGCATGTTTGAGCATTTGGGGATAGATCCAGTGAGAACGGAGGTGTGAATCCTGCTCAGGTTTTTTTCTTACTGATTGAAACTCCTTCTGGCTTGTACAGCAAACAAAAGGTTCTTTCTACTGGTGTAAGTACTAACCGTAGTTGTCTGGTGTCTAGTTTGGAGCACTGTGCTGTACACGTCACACAAGAAGTATTTGTGCTTGTGTGGCCAGCAGTGAAGGCGATATCGAGAGGAGCCACTGTGTCTACATTCAGAGAAGAGAAATATTGCTCGTGCTGTTCTGGCCGCGTGTAAGAAGCTTCACATTCAAACTGAGTGTCATGGTGGATCAGTGCATGTGGCACAGACAGAAACAGTTTGGTGAATCTGTCCTCAGTCAAGAGATGAATTTTACCTGTTTGTGTTCCATTTGCATAAACCATCCTCTTAAGCTCTGCCATGAGTAATTAATATTTTCTTTTAAATAAAAATTTACTTAAAACTGGGCATAATCCTGTTGCCTGCAGTGGGAATAGTATGTGGGAAAAACTGTTCAGGGACTGAAGCAATCAGGATTGGGTCCTGAAATGAATATTTCTTCTGATGCAACCATAGCCTTGTCTAATGTCTAACTGATGTGCTCTTTCAAACAGATACTAATTTTGTCTTGGGTAATGCCCAGATAGTGGATTGGCCCATTGTCTACAGCAACGATGGATTTTGCAAGCTATCAGGATATCACAGAGCAGAAGTTATGCAAAAAAGCAGCACCTGCAGGTATTTGAGAACAGATTTATTTTCGGTTAAATAGCTTGTAGTGTTGTGCTTGTTGCTTGAGGAGAAAAGTAATCTGTTTATTCCAGTTTTGTCTTTTATCTCCTGGGGCTGCATCTGTCAAATATGCTTTCCAGGTGAAACAAAATCAAAAAAGGACTTTCTAAATAGGTCCTTTTCACACTGTAAACAAATGGCTTTGTGTCTTTGTCTAGTATCTGACTTGAATTTGGCACTTTATTTGCAGTTTTATGTACGGAGAGCTGACAGATAAAGATACAATTGACAAAGTCCGGCAAACATTTGAGAACTATGAGATGAACTCCTTTGAAATTTTGATGTACAAGAAGAACAGTAAGTAGTTGATTGGCTTGTTTCTTAACATAGATATGTTAAGTTGTTTTAAATTATAAAATGTAAATACAAAAAAAAAGGCAAGTCAGTCAGCCTGGAGGACTGTGCTTTATCTAGGGCTAAATAAGCCCCAGTTCTACCAGCTGATCTACAAGGAAGAAATGAGAACACTGGGGATGAAAGTCACTCAGGGAGGGAGATGAAGCTCTCTAATTGGTTCTGACGTTTAGAGCAATTTGTGTGTGATTCTTTAAGACAACACTCAAGATTCCATCAGCAATGATAATACACAAGCTAGGTTCGTGGAAATGGTTTCCCTTACAGACAACATGCTACTTCAATTTTTAAAAATTTGCTATAGCAAAGCCAGTACCTAGGTATAGTTTTGGAATGATACCATCTTTTGTTTTAGAAGCTGAACTATTTCTGATGTTTCCAGAAGAAACTGTCTTTTCTTTTTGACAAATTCCTTAATTGGTATATGACTTTTTTCTAGGAATTTCATCTAACTGCACATGTCAGCAGATGAACTACTTGCCAAAAACTTGTTCCCCCATCTAGTGTGGACTATGTCATGGCATAGTTATTTTCATCTGGTAAAGGTCTTCAGCCTGGCCAAATGTTAAGCTAAAAGTCTGCATTCTGTAACTTATTTTTCTTTTAACAATTTTGCCTTCTTAGCGTGAAACTGATGGTGTCTGTGTACAGGGGAGGGTACCTTGGAGAAGCATCTTGCTAGCGGCTCCTTCCCATTACAGCTGTGGTGATCAATTTGATCAGTTCTACATTAGTGGGCATGGGGGATTTTCACCACAAAATATGACATAAACTGCTATGATATAATTTTTGACAGTTAACCTCATTGCTGCTTTGTTTCTTGTTAGAAAGACCAGTTTTCTGGGGAAAGGTTATCCGGTCTATCTGTATGTGTGAACCATTGGCATTTCTATTGAAATGACCAGCTAGTACTTAGGGAGTTTGGTGAGAGAACCGCAGGCACTTCACAAAAGCTAAGAGAATACTTATGTATGCTACTGCTGTTCTATGGATGTGTGGAGCTACTTGTTTTCTATCAGAATTAATCTATTCTTCTAAGAAGTGGTGGTACCAGAGTACATGGAATTGGTTTTTGTTATTTTTTTAGAGATTAAAAAAAAACCAACCTTGAGAGATTTTTGCTTCATCTATCTTTTAGTCTTTCATTTCATTTTAGCCTGTTCAAAGCATCATGACTGCTGACATGGTGCCATTGCTCAGGGCTCTTCTGGAGCACAACTCTGCTGGTCCAACTCATCTGAAAAACTATATGTGCTCCCTGAATGGCCTTGCTTTGTACTTATTTCCTTCTAGTGTTACTTGCCTCCAATGTTTACCTATTTCTTAAAGTTGATTTCTGTTCCTAGCTCAGTTAGTGGCCGTAGGGACCATATGCAGCTCACATCTATGCATCCACAGCCAAGTAAATCGACTGCAGTCATGGGATCTAGGAGGGTCTGGAATCCTGTCTTAGTTAACAGTGATTTGGCACCAAGAGGCTATGCAGCTACTCTTCTGTCATTGCTGCAGCATATGGCTTGTAGTAGAGCCTGGGGCCTCTCTGTCTTTTGTGCGGAATTAAAGCAAGGTAACCATGGAGTGAGGAATGTTTCCTGCCCTGCTGTGCACTTCCCTGAGGAGAGGCAGCCTAGAACAAAGTCCAGCTGTGCAGAAGCTGTGTTGTGCGACATGCCAAAAAGCAGAGCTATGATGGTTCTGCTGTGTGCACAGAGGGTCACAGGCATGGGAAAAAGGAAAGCACAGAGCTTGCTTTTAAGTTTAACAAAACGCAGTGCTCTTATGTTTGTTAGATTTGTAGCTTTAGAGGTACATTAACTACTGTTACAGAGACTGACTAATAACACCAAAAAGGGGACATTCTGGAGCTTTTTCTCAGAATAAGCCACATCATAGAAAAACATTATCTTGTTTTCCAGTCACTTAGCACCCAGACTGCTACGTGGTCTCGCCTTTGTGGTCACCTTACCTCTGCCTGCAGCTATGGCAGTTGCTGTTCAGGCAATGAATGTGATTGGTTTCAACATACTCTGTTTGAAGGTTTTGTAAGGGACCCTGAATTTTGTTAGACAGCTTCTTTCCTGATCTTTGTTTCTTTTTTTTGTCTCTCTATTCATCCCTCATTCTATTTTTCTTCTTCATATTAGCCAGTAAATTAGGTAGGAAATAGATTTTTCTTGTTCTTTACCTGTCTGCTCCCTCCCTATAAACTAACAGTTGTGATAAATAGCAAGTTTTTCTTCCATTTTTATGTTGTTCAATAATTGGTACATTTTCCACAGCCTGCACATTTAATGTACTTCTAGCTGTTTTAACAATACAATCTCTATCCTTTGGGTGGGGGGAGGGGGAAAAAACCCAGGAGTTTCAAGTTAACTGTGCTGATGCTAGTGCAGGTCCATCTTCGTCTTGTATTATTATGAACAGCAGTCATCTCTCTATGAGTAACAGTTGTGTCATGATCTTATGCTAGGCATGTCAACAATAGATTCAGACATTTAATAATGCTTCTAGAAGTGATAGGATGCTTTTATTTTTTGACACAGCAGTCTCCATGGTGGTGACTCAGTGCTAGTATTTACTCGGTTGTTTGATAAGAATACCCCATCCAGATGTTGGTGGTTACAGTATTTCCATCACCTTCATTGCAATTCACAGTATCAACTCTAGAAACAGCATAGTCTGCAGTATTCAGAATGACAACACAATTTTCTGCCTTCATCCTGTTTGCGTTTATGGATCCTGTCTCTATACTGGCCTCCCCTTTCTCTGTCCGGCCCTCCCATGATCCAAAAGTGAGTATCTTCCCTGTTTTCAGAACTTGAAGTTAAGATGCAATAGAGATTTGATGGTTCCCTGGGCTAGGCCCTTGATTACTTAGTAGATATGTGATGATCATTGTTATTCTTCAGAAGAATTGTTTCCTAGAAATGCAGAGCTCCTTCAGGGTAATTGGAAGCAACTGAAGCAAGCAGGTGCACAGCCACTAGGTTTTTGTCATTCTTGCTCTGATACCATCCTGTTGCATTCAGTGGGGATTCATAGTCATACCTGGAAGGAGACAAAGTGAAAGCTTTCTTTTAATCTGGACTGCAAAATGACAACAGATAAGTTAACAGTAATTTCATGTGAGAACTTCAGTTCCATTGTTTGATTTGATATGATTGTCCAGTGATGCTGGAAGTATTTTAAATTTTTATATGGGAAAATCAGTACACTGCTAAGTATCACTGAAATCAGTGAAGTTATGTTAACTTACACCAAGGAAGGATATGGTCTAATGTATTAGAAAACGTTTTTGTATCCAGTCTTAGACATATTTTAGCTTATCTGAATTGATGCAGTTTGAACATCTAACCTCTTATAAGACTTTGACAGCCATTCATTAGGTTTTTACACTTTATGGTCAGCCTCATAAATTAAAATGGCTGAGTAAATTAAACTTGGACTTACGTTGCCTAGTTCTCCATCTACAACATGGGTCTGGGTTAAGAGCAGTGCAAAAGCAGGCCGCTTCTAGATGCACTTGCTTCCATTATAGCTGAAGTAATTTTTTGTAAGAATATAAATTTACTTGCTTCTGACTGCCTCTGAAGAGGTAGTGCCCATTTGAAATCTAACCACCTTTTCTATGCAGTACTTGATCTGCTTCAGTGGAAGAATATCTGATGTGGGCTGGACTCTTCAAAACTAAAATGCGTGAAGAGTTACAGAGTCTTCAGGCATTCCCTGTCTGAGCAAAGACATTCCCATTGCTTACTGTCTGCAGCAGTGCTGCAGAGAGTGATGAGACAGCTTTTTTTTTCTTTTTTTTTTTTTTTTCCACAGAGGTTTTTTACAGATGAGGCCACTGGAATGGCAGCAGCCAAAGGGTTGGCTGTAGGTAATTATTTTGCACACTGCAAAGTGGTTTGATTAAGTAGCTCATCTCTGAGTACATATATGATGGTGAGAGTCCCAAAAGTTGGGCTTCACTTTTAGTTTGAGCTGGAGTTCACTTCCCTGGTTTTCTGTGTGCTTGAATGTTTAACAAATTTCATACATGAATATTTGTGTGGGGTTTTTTTTGTTTTGTTTGTTGGATATTTTAACACATGCACCATTCCCTCACAGTGTATTAGAAGGCTTTTAGATGTCAAAGAATGACAAATAAGCCCACAATAGTCATTTGTCAGGTTGTACTTGCAGGTATCTTTGGAACTAGTGTTTTCTATAGAGGTTAAAAAACAGACAAACAACCCCATACTAATTTATAGAGAGCAAAATTCACTTTAAGGTGGTAGACCTGTGATTGCCTGTCACTAGGGAGAGTTTCTCATAACTGTTACTGGTTAGAACAATTTAAAACCACTTATATTTGTGTGTGCTGTGCCTCTAGTGTCTCCAGATGGAAACCTTGGCTAAACTAAATCATTGCATAGGACTAGAAGCAGGAAAGGATGAGGGTGCTGGAGTAAAGTGGTATGTATCCTCCTGAGCATTCCATTGAAATCTAGCTCTGTATTTGTCAAGCAGTACACACACCTGCATCTCTTCTGTGAAATCCATCTGCATGAGTTCAGTTACCTTCAGCAAGGTTGAATCTAAGTATTTTTGGATTCTTAAAACTGATAATTCAGTTTGATCTTGTCAACTTCAAATGTGTTGGCAAGACCTGTTATCTCCTCAAATGTATACAGAACAGTAAGATTTCCCAGTAGTAATCCTTAAATATTTTATCTGGGGTGAATGGAAACATTTCAAGAGTTCCCTCTGTCTTCCCCTTCCTTATACTCACTTTCTGTTCTTCAGAGAACTCAGAATCAGGTAAACACTGCTGCAGTACAAGGGTGTGTGCTGAAGTTTTTTCCTACTGTGTTGTTTCAGTGTCATAAGGTGACTCCTGTGTGTAGTGATTTCACCTTTGGGGACTGAAATTGATTTTCCTTATCTTAGCATGTAAAGAT